AGATTACGAGCGAACATCGAAAATTCTAAAACAATTGTGATATTTTTATTAATGACATATTTGGCGCGATTTTGGAATAATTAGACGGTTAAAAATTATGAAAAAAAATCTTGATCGATACAGCGATTAGTTTTCGAAATATTCGCTTTCAAAATCAAATTTTGAAAGTATGTCAAAATTTGCAACGTTTCATTTTGGCGATTCTGGAAAAATTGTATATATTTTGAAGCAAATCAAGCCGGAAAGAACTTCTAGAAGTCAAAACCAATAAAATAATCAATTCAGGTAAATTTCCTCGGTGCTCGCCAAAGGGTCAAAATTTTGATAAAAGTTTTGGAAAAGTTATCTGAAAATCTATAAAAAATTTTGAGATGTAGATTTTAACAAAAAATGTAGTGTCTTGATACGTATTTTTATTTGTGCTACGGTTGTGGAAAAACTGGATGGTTAAAAATATGAAAAAAAATGTATTTGAACAGGAAAAACCTCTCTACCAGTAAAAATAATCCCAAGTCGATACACCGACAGTTTTTCGAAATACTCCGTTTCCAAGTCAAATTTTGAAAATATGACAAAACTTTCCGTATATTTTGGCGACTATGGAAAAATGGTAGGTGTTTCGGGACTAAATGAAGCCGGAAAGGAGTTCTAGAAGTCAAAACCAATAAAAGAATCAATTTAGGTAAATGTCGAAGGTGTTCGTCAAGAGGTCAAAATTTTCAAAATTTTTCAATATTGAAAAATTTAGCTTTTGGCAAAGTTGTCCAAAAATTTACAAAAAATCTGAGATATAGATTTCGACGAGCTGAATGTAAGAATACAGTGCTTTGACGGTCCTGGATTAAGATTACGAGCGAAATCGAAAATTCTAGAACAATCGTGATATTTTTATTAATGACATATTTGGCGCCATTTTGGAAAAACTGAATGGTTAAAAATTATGTAAAAAATCTTTTCTACGCAGGGAAAACCCGTATAGAAGGAAAAATAATCCCAAGTCGATACAGAGATTGGTTTCCGAAATATTGGCTTTCAGAGTCAAATTTTGAAAATATGTCAAAATTTGCCATATTTCGTTTTCGCTATTCTGAAAAAATTGTACACTTTTTGGACCAAATGAAGCCGAAAAGAACTTCTAAAAGTCAAAACCAACAATAAAAGAATCAATTTAAGTAAATTATTACGAGCGAACTTCGAAAATTCTAAAACAATTCTGATATTTTTATTAATGACATATTTGACGGGATTTTGGAAAAACTGGATGGTTAAAAATTATGAAAAAAATCTAATGCACGTAGGGAAGACCGGTTTAGCAGAAAAAATAATTCCAAGTCGATACCGACATTGGTTTCCGAAATATTGGCTTTCAAAGTCAAATTTTGAAAATAGGTCAAAATTTAGCCATATTTCGTGTTCGCTTTTCTGGAAAAATTGTATACTTTTTGGACCAAATGAAGTCGAAAAGAACTTCTAAAAGTCAAAACGAACAATAAAAAAATCGATTTAAGTAAATTATTACGAGTGAACATCGAAAATTCTAAAACCATCGTGATATTTGTAATTATAACATATTTAGCGCGATTTTGGAAAAACTGGATGGTTAAAAATTTTGAAAAAAATCTTATGCACGTAGGGAAGACCAGTTTAGGGGAAAAAATAATTCCAAGTCGATACAGATATTGGTTTCCGAAATATTGGCTTTCAAAGTCAAATTTTGAAAATATGTCAAAATTTAGCCATATTTCGTTTTTGCTATTCTGGAAAAATTGTATACTTTTTGGACCAAATGAAGCCGAAAAGAACTTTTAAAAGTCAAAACCAACAATAAAAGAATCGATTCAAGTAAATTATTACAAGCGAACATCGAAAATTCTAAAACAATTGTGATATTTTTATTAATGACATATTTGGCGGGATTTTGGAAAAACTGGATGGTCAAAAATTTTGAAAAAAATCTTGTGCACGTAGGGAAGACCAGTTTAGGAGAAAAAATAATTCCAAGTCAATTCAGATATTGGTTTCCGAAATATTGGCTTTCAGAGTCAAATTTTGAAAATTTGTCAAAATTTGCCATATTTCGTTTTCGCTATTCTGAAAAAATTGTATACTTTTTGGACCAAATGAAGCCGAAAAGAAGTTCTAAAAGTCAAAACCAACAATAAAAGAATCGATTTAAGTAAATTATTACGAGCGAACATCGAAAATTCTAAAACCATCGTGATATTTGTAATTATAACATATTTAGCGCGATTTTGGAAAAACTGGATGGTTAAAAATTTTGAAAAAAATCTTATGCACGTAGGGAAGACCAGTTTAGGGGAAAAAATAATTCCAAGTCGATACAGATATTGGTTTCCGAAATATTGGCTTTCAAAGTCAAATTTTGAAAATATGTCAAAATTTAGCCATATTTCGTTTTTGCTATTCTGGAAAAATTGTATACTTTTTGGACCAAATGAAGCCGAAAAGAACTTTTAAAAGTCAAAACCAACAATAAAAGAATCGATTTAAGTAAATTATTACGAGCGAACATCGAAAATTCTAAAACAATTGTGATATTTTTATTAGTGACATACTTGCGGGGATTTTGGAAAAACTGGATGGTTAAAAATTTTGAAAAAAATCTTATGCACGTAGGGAAGACCTGTCTAGCAGAAAAAATAATTCCAAATCGATACAGAGATTGGTTTCCGAAATATTGGCTTTCAAAGTAAAATTTTGAAAATATGTCAAAATTTAGCCATATTTCGTTTTCGCTATTCTGGAAAAAAATTGTATACTCTTTGGACCAAATGAAGCCGAAAAGAACTTCTAAAAGTCAAAACCTACAATAAAAGAATCGATTCAAGTAAATTATTACAAGCGAACATCGAAAATTCTAAAACAATTGTGATATTTTTATTAATGACATATTTGGCGGGATTTTGGAAAAACTGGATGGTAAAAAATTTTGAAAAAAATCTTATGCACGTAGGGAAGACCAGTTTAGGAGAAAAAATAATTCCAAGTCGATACAGATATTGGTTTCCGAAATATTGGCTTTCAAAGTCAAATTTTGCCACCTTCGTTTTCGCTGTTCTGGAAAAATTGTGTACTTTTTGGACCAAATGAAGCCGAAACGAAAATCTAAAAGTCAAAACCAACAATAAAAGAATCGTTTTAAGTAAATTATTACGAGCGAACATCGAAAATTCTAAAACAATTGTGATATTTTTATTAATGACATATTTGGCAGGATTATGGAAAAACTGGATGGTTAAAAATTATGAAAAAAATCTAATGCACGTGGGGAAGACCTGTCTAGCAAAAAAAATAATTCCAAATCGATACAGAGATTGGTTTCCGAAATATTGGCTTTCAGAATCAAATTCTGAAAATTTGTCTCACAATTTCGCTGTTCTGGAAAAATTGTGCACTTTTTTGACCAAATGAAGCCGGAAAGAACTTCTAGAAGTCAAAACCAATAAAATAATCAATTCAGGTAAATCCTAAGTGCTCGCCAAAGGGTCAAAATTTTCATAAAGGGGCGGCAATTTTGAAAAATTAAACTTTTGGAAAAGTTATCTGAAAATCTACAAAAAATTCTATACGTATTTTATTTGTGCCACGGTTATGGAAAAACTGGATGGTTAAAAACTATGAAAAAAATTGTATTTAAGCAGGAAAAACCTGTCTACCAGTAAAAATTATCCCGAGTCAATGCACCGACTGTTTTTTGAAATACCCCGTTTCCAAGTCAAATTTTGAAAATATGTCAAAATTTTCCGTATTTCATTTTGGCGATTATGGAAAAATGGTAGGTGTTTCGGGACTAAATGAAACCGGATGGAACTTCTAGAAGTCTAAACCAATAAAAGAATCAATTTAGGTAATTTCCAAGGTGCTCGTCAAGAGGTCAAAATTTTCAAAATTTTTCAATATTGAAAAATTTAGCTTTTGGCAAAGTTTACAAAAAATCTGAGATATAGATTTCGACGAGCTGAATGGAAAAATATAGCGTCTTAGTGGTTCTGGTTAAAAAAATATGAAAACACCGTGTTTGCCCAATTTGCACGAAATTTGAAGAAGGACCATTGGAAAAATTTCACTTTTACAAAAGTTGTCTAAAAATTGTGAAAAAATTCAGGGGCGTAGATCTCGACATGCTGATTCCAAAAATATAGCGTGTTGATGGTCACGGGGCAACATTTTCGAAAGAATCGGTACGAAATGCGAATTTTTGAAAATTTCTACAAATTTCGATATTTTAACGATACTGGAAAAACGGTTGGAGTTATCAAAGAAGCGAGACCGGAAGTGGGTTCTAGAGCTCGAAATCTAAAGCCGTGATGAACTTATGGAAGACAAACCTAACAAAAGAATCACTTTCGGTACATTTCGAAGGTGCTCGCCAAAGTGTCAAAATTTTCATAAATGGGTAAGAATCCACAAAAAATTCCAAACGAACGAAAGTTCTAGAACAATCGTGCCGTTTTTATTATTTTTATTAATGACACATTTAGCGCGATTTTGAAAAAACTGGATAGTCCAAAGTTCTGAAAAAAAACGTGTTTTTCTGCTTTTTTCATAAGGTATCTACTTCTGTGAAAATATAAAGTGTTGCTTATAACACCCTGTACAGCTTTCAAGTGAAACACCTATATATTTGAAAATAGTTTTAATTGTAACACTACAAATTTCTAGACATCTTTGAAAGTTTAGAAATTTGTAAACATATTTGTTAACTTCGGTGGTGATCTTGTCTTCACTAGAAACAGCAAAATGTAAGTCTTCGGATTTAGTTTTTTCGTGTGAAAGGATGCCAACGCAGTTGGCGAAACGCGTTGATTACATATACTTACTTGCGACCAGGCTATACCTTTTTCATTCTTGTGAACTGCTTGTTTGAAATATTTTATCTCGGAGAAAATACAACCACCAAGACCATTTTAACGAGTTGTCAAGCACTTACCTTTTTTCGTTTTGTTACGAGCTCATCGCGGTAAATAAAAGCCGAGGCGAAATGTTCAACATTTTATTTTATGTAAATTACAATAATTACTACTGCTACATTTAATGCAAGTGCCAAGTCCTGAAAATGTGTCTAGTTTCTAACGTGACGATGAACATGGGAGTTTTGCACCTGTTATGACTCATTACGGATAAAAATGATAAAATATTCATGAAGAGTGTTAACACGAAGACCGTAATAAAATGTTGAGCCGGAGCGTCGTTAGCTACTTCTGACAGAATTTTTGGTCCGACACGTTCACAACCTATAAATACCGCTCCAGTGATTTTAACATCAACACTTTGAAGAACCAAAGTGCAGTAACAACGACATGAATTTTCTCTGATACACTACAATGCACAAGCTGACATTACCACAATGCAAACAATATTTACAGAAGAATCGTAGATACTAAATTTATTAAAATAGGTTATATTAAGTGTCTTAATTATACAACTTCAGTTCGCCTCCGAAATGATCCAGTTTATCACAATCGAAGATACTACCTAGCGCTATTGTTTACACTGTAAAAGCAATATTGTCCCGATCCTGGCAGTGATAAACTACGGGTTATGGGTAAATTAGCGGCAATCGACCTCCCGTCGTCTGACGGGCCGTCGATCGCCCCACTAAACGCTACACAGCAACAAACCTTACAGAGGAGAACTTCTAAATATCTCTTTAAACCTATAAAATAACGACACATAAAGAAAATATATAGTCTGACATAATAAACTTAGAGTTAAATATATGTATATTTTAGTAAAGAAGGCTGATTCAAGCACGGCTGGACTGCAACACTGCATGTGGCTTCAGAAGCGGTGACGTAGGCCCTACAGATATCCTACCATGTAGTTACGAGGCAGCTGACCCATGCGGCGCCTACGACCTGAAAAATAATAAAAACCCTCCTTCGACGACGATCCAACGAAAAAGCGCGCGAATATCGCCTCTGAAAACCGTCACGACGCGGTGGATTCATTCGTTCAATACTGTGACAATCTAATATTGTAGTCGTAAAAGTGGCATAAATCCGGCAAGCGATTTGACCCAATTTGTTTAGAGAGGAAGTGCATGTCGGGGGTTCATCGTGCACGATGCATTCGGCTTTTAAATTGACGCCGACACTTCCATTTGCTTGGAAATCATTCGTTCCGGCGCGGATCGATCATGACTGAGATGCCACAGTCCGGCAGGAACTGCGCGCGGTGTAGAAACGTCATCAGAACTATATACTTATTTAGTGCGAGCACGCAAATACCACAATTTGCTTAATGACAAAACAAACGTAAGCGAGATCAATATTCGTTTCATGAAACTTAGTATACATTTGCTGGTGGTTGTGTTTGCGTCTGAATCGGCCTTAAACTCGGCCTTCCTGGCGCCACCGCAATAAAATCCTTACCAATTTTCTCCTTGAATAAAATTGTATCACACTTGTCCTTAAATCGACAATTCAATCACATGGTCAACGCGTCGAATCTACCGCTCCTATTGGTTGGAAACCAATCGACCCAACTGGGTTTATTAACAAAAACGACGTAATTATACGGAAGACTCGCCTTGTATACGAGCAAACATCTTCACTTTTAGTGGATATTGGCAGCATATTTTACTACCTTTTTAGTGTGTATTTCCGCGCTCTAGTTACCAAGTTTTGTTTTTCTTAAAGACAGTTTTAAGATATTACGAAATCTAAGTACTTTAGGGCGACCACCAGGCTCTAAAATTTTCATCGATTTAGAGTTCAGTTCGGAAGCAGAAAACTTTTCCACTTTTACATCACGAATTTAGTAGTTCCGGTCACGAAGTATTTGTCGGTGAAAAATTACCACTATAATATGAGAAAGAAGAAACTCGCGGTGGAAGATTTTTTGTAAGCAGGTTTTGTTTCTGCTTTAAGAAAATTATGAGATCTGATTAGTTTACGGCCGGCTCGAAAGTTCGTTCGATTATGTGCTCAAAGTCTAGAAGCAGAGGACACTTTTCCTGGTATATTTCACGAATCTAGTTTGCTGTCTACGGAAAATCGATAACATCCACAGAGTACTTGTTGAGGGAAAATTATTATTAAAATCTGCGGGGCTATCGATTCCTGGAGTAAGTGCAAAGAGAATACAAATTCCTTTAAAAATGAACTCTCGGTGTATGGTGGTGGCAAGCGCTTGAGTTTACAAAGAAGATGCGATTGAAACACGATATTTCACCGAGCTGCAATAATTTACCACGGAGTCTAGTCACGAGCACCTCAAAGTAGCAGTCTTGATGTTTGCTTTAATTACAAAAAAAAAAAAAAAAATACTACAGAACAAAATATTCGCAGGATTTTGCATCGTATTACATGACTCACTTAATTATAATTCCAGATGACTAAATTTCAGAGTTACATGATTTTCTGTTTTCATTCATAGTGGTTAAATTAATGTATAAAATGACGCATTTAAGAATACAATTAACATTCCAGTTGACTAAATGTCTGAATCATAAACACAGACTTCATTTTTTTTCATGTAGGTTTTTGCACAAAACAAAACTATGAATGATATTTTTTTTAACTGGTAATTTCTTCGGAATTTAAAAAATTATTTACGAATTTATGAATTACACTAAAATAATTGTGACGATTGGAATCACGTCCGTAGTTATATGATGGGGGTCCTAGGCTACTTTGACCTCAATTGACCCTCAAGAAGTCAAATTACGTCTGAAATTGCTGGAAAACTACTTTAACTGGATTTGATTTGACTGGATTTTATTCTCTTGGATTCTCTTAAATTTAATAGAAATTCTTCATAACTCGCAGAAATTCCTCTCGATTATATTGACGGTATTTTTTTCAGAATTATCACAAAATTAAGGATGACATATGAATATTTCTTAAAACTGGTAGACAATGAGTTAATTACTGCATTAATGTTGCAATTCTTCCAATTAATTTTCAATAATTTCCTCGGAATTAACAGAATTATTTTGAAAGTCATGAAGTTATACTAAAAACGATTAGAACTACAAGAATTACATTGGTCTTTATATGCTGGGGATTCTAAGCCACTTTAACCTCATTTGACCTGCTCTAGAAGCCTCATGTCGGTTCTAGCTCACTTTTATCGCGGTGAACCTAACTTAGAACCTACATGTGGCTTCTGAGCCACTTTTACCTCAATTGACCTGGCTTAGAATGTGCAGAAGAGTTCTAGACTAGGTCAAATGAGGTCAAAGTGGCCTAGAACCTCCATCATACAACTACTTATGCCTGAAATTGTTGGAAATCATTATAACTGGATTTAATTTGAATGGATTTGAAGTCCTCTGGAAGTAGAGTTGTACATAATTTATGAAGTAACTGCAACCACTATGATTTACTGTTAAAAAACGCGAAAACTGATTACTAGGAAATCCTTTGTAAAATTATAACGTTTGTGGAATTCTTGGGATTATCTTAAATTCGATAGAAATTTTTCGGGACTCGCAGAAATTCCTTTGGAATTATTTTGAAAGTACTATGGAATTTTTCGAATTTATGAAATTACAGTAAAAACGCTTGGAATGATAAGAATTATGTCTGTACTTATATGATGGGGATTCTAGGCTATTTTGACCTCATTTGGCCTAATGCCGGTTCTAGCTCAATTTGACCGCAGTGGGCCCGTGCGGCTTCAGGACCACTTTCGCCTCAGTTGACCTAACCTAGAACACGCACGGGGGTTCTAAACTAAGTCAAATGAGGTCCAAGTGGCCTAGAACCCGCACCATCTAAACAAGTAGTTACATGATGGGGGTTCTAGTCCATTTTGACCTCATTTGACCTGGTCTAGAAGCCTCATGCGCCTTCTGGGCGACTGGACCTCTGTTGTCCTGGCCTAGGATCGAATGAAGTCAAAGTGGCCTAGAACCCCCATCATCTACTTACGTCTAAAATTGCTGGAAAATATTATAACTGGACTTGGTTTAAATAGATTTAAAGTCCTTAGAAATGGAATTGTACATAATTTATGAAGTGATCAGCTCCTCGTAAAAATCGCATTGTTGCGTTTTATTGCAGTTTTATTACCTTATCCCTTGCAAATTCGCCTTCTATAATTTACGGTTAAAAACGCCAGGGGGAATCATTAGGAAATTCCCTTGTAAAATTAAACAAATTTGTGAAATTCTTAAGATTATTTTAAATTCGATACAAATTCTTCGAAACTTTGACATTCTTAAAGTATCTTTTCAGAATTATCACAGAATTAAATAAAGACGACATATGGATAATTTTTCTTTAAAGTTGGTTGACAATAAGTTAGTTACTGCAATATTTACATTAGATTCTCAATAGTTTTTTCGAAATTTCATCAATTCCAAAATAATTCTGCAGGAATTATGAAATTTCACTAGAAACAATTGTGACGATTGGAATTACGTCCGTAGTTATATGATGGGGGTTCTAGGCTAGTTTGACCTCAATTGACCTGATCTACAACCCTCAAGAAGTCAAATTACGTCTCAAATTGCTGGAAAACTATTTTAACTGGATTTGATTTGACTGGATTTGAAGTCTTTTGGAAATGAAGTGGTGATAATATTTATTTAATTTTGTAGAATTCTTGGATTCTCTTAAATTTAATAGAAATTCTTCATGACTCGCAGAAATTCCTCTCGATTATATTCAAGGTACTTTTTTCAGAATTATCACAAAATTAAGGATGACATATGAATATTTCTTAAAACTGGTAGACATGATTTAGTTACTGCATTAATGTTGCAATAATTCCATTTAATTTTCAATAATTTCTGCGGAATTTACAGAATTATTTTGGAATTCATGAAGTTATACTAAAAACGATTGGAACGATAAGAGTTACGTCGGTACTTATATGCTGGGGATTCTAAGCCACTTTAACCTCATTTGACCTGCTCTAGAAGCCTCATGCCGGTTCTAGCTCACTTTTATCACGGTGAACCTGACTTAGAACCCCCATGTGGCTTCTGGGCTACTTTTACCTCAATTGACCTGGCCTAGAATGTGCAGAAGAGTTCTAGACTAGGTCAAATGAGGTCAAAATGGCCTAGAGCCCCCATCATACAACTACTTATGCCTGAAATTGTTGGAAACTATGATAACTGGATTTAATTTGAATGGATTTGAAGTCTTCTGGAAGTAGAGTTGTACATAATTTATGAAGTAACTATGATTTACTGTTAAAAAACGCGAAAGCTGATTACTAGGAAATCCTTTGTAAAATTATAAAGTTAGTGGAATTCTTGGGATTATCTTAAATTCGATAGAAATTTTTTCGCAGAAATTCCTTTGGAACTATTTTGAAAGTACTACGGAATTTTTAGAATTTATGTAATTACAGTAAAAACGTTTGGAACGATAAGAATTGCGTCTATACTTATATGATGGGGATTCTAGGCTATTTTACGTCTAAAATTGTTGGAAAATATTATAACTGGACTTAGTTTAAATAGATTTGAAGTCCTTAGAAATGGAATTGTACATAATTTATGAAGTGATCAGCTCCTCGTAAAAATCACATTTTATTGCAGTTTTATTACCTTATCCCTTGCGAATTCGCCTTCTATAATTTACGGTTAAAAACGCCAGGGGGAATCATTAGGAAATTCCCTTCTAAAATTAAACAAATTTGTGAAATTCTTAAGATTATTTTAAATTCGATACAAATTCTTGGAAACTTCGACATTCTTAAAGTATCTTTTCAGAATTATCACAGAATTAAATAAAGACGACATATGGATAATTTTACTTTAAAGTTGGTTGACAATAAGTTAGTTATTGCAATATTTCCATTAGATCCGCAATAGTTTTTTCAGAATTTCATAAATTCCAAAATAATTCTGCAGGAATTATGAAATTTCACTAAAACACTCGGAACTATTGGAATTACGTCAGTAGTTATATGATGGGGGTTCTGCACCACTTAACCCCAGTTGACCTGGCCTAAAACCCGCATGTGGGGCAACTGAGATGAAAACGATATAATAAAAAAAAAGTTCGCAACATTTTCAAATATCAGAAGTTTCTGTACAAACAACTAACACAAAGAAAAAATATTTCAATGATCCTTAAATATTAAATACACTGTGTTGGAAATTCCACAAACAAACACGGTACTTAAAATCAGCTTTAGCCAACTCCACATCACAATATTTTCCGAACAAATTTTCATCCTGCAAAATGAATCAACCACGTTCCGATGATTTGTCTTTAATAAACTTTCGAGTTTGTGTCGTCCGCAACTAAATCTCGCCTTTATTATAACGAAGTTTCCACGTGCTCGCACATCCACTAAATTTTTTTTAAACGGAAGCACAAATCAGGCAATCTTGCCGCCGCTACAAAAACCACTCTTTTCCCGCCACCTCGAACCTCATTATGGCGCTTCCCTCCGAATCGATAGATTTAAAATCAAATCCTCCGGCAGACATACATACAGCGTCCAACCCCCGTCAAACCCATCCAGCGTATCGACAAAACTCCCTCCAGACAATTTAATAGTTACCTTGACGCAACGCATTCATAATTCATCCCGAAAACTAATAACATATTGATGAACCCCCTTTAACAATACCTTCCACGTTCCACAATGATGGACTATTAAATTAAAACTGTTGATGCTTACACTCGCAGCAGGATGTATCCAAACCAGAATCCATTTCTGTCAGACGCGTGTGCTCGAAGTTCGACGTACTTCTGACTATGAATATTTTAGTTGTCGAACAACGAGACGCGGATTCAGAGGAGATACCCGAACGGCGTTAACACCAATAACGAAAAAGAGAAAAACCAGCTAAGCCAGTGACGATTATAAAATGATAGACATGGAAAAGCTTTTATGTTTTTTGCTAGATACAGATGGGCAGCCCTCCTAAGGGGATTTACATCTACGGCCATACAGAAAAAGCGATTAGAGTCCTATTGGATTTGTTTACGTGTGTCTTTTAATTCTCTTATTTAAAACAACCACATTACTTTATTTATCATAGTTTTATTTAACTGTGTGTTTAAAGTTAAAGTACTAGTGCCAACGTTTAAATACAGTGCTTAGCGTAAGCGACGCATGCGTAGTAAGCGGCGACATGCAATGTATGCAACACACCATGCACAGAGGGGGCAATTTCCAGTACACCGACCGGTAAACTGGCAATTACAGCACAAATGCTTCGGTTCGAATTCGAACAGACGCAAATGCGCTCGACTGTGTGAATTAGCGACAACTAAGTGAAATTGGCGATAATTAAAATAGGTACGTACGTAGTCGCGACCACAGCACACTATGAGCTGGTCGCCCCCAGCCGAGACAGGCGGCGTTCTGTGAACAGAGGAGATAACACAATTCAAATGGGGACAATGGGGCAGGTTCGGGGCGATGAAATGTCACCGGTTAATTTGACAGCACAAAGTTGGAAACGTGTCGATCAAAATTAAAAGTGGGGCGGGAATGTATCACGTTTTATGTCGAAAACAGCAAATTGTATTTATACAAATGATGAACTAGGTGTATGTAACGCTCTCGTTTCCTACTAGTAGTCGTGACGACCCATGCGAAATGTACTACGTTTCCTACTATTTTTTTTTTTTTTGATATTTGCGAAAGTGCTCGACCTCTACAAAACTTTCCGCTTTTAATTGCAAGATTTCTTGGCGAAATTGCCCATAAAAGCACTCATTATATTCCTTACCGTAAATAATTACCATTCAAGCTGTATCGATCGTAAACCGCCGTTACGTACAACCCAATAATTTTTGTCGTTTTTCGCCGAAACAATAATAATTTTATTTCCGGCGATAATTTACGACCGATCAAGTAACCCCGTTATTTCCTTCGCCCAATAAAAATCAAAATAACTGCACTGATAACTTTGTGCTGCGGCGACACTTCAACCATTGTTAATAAAAACACATGCTGGAACAAATGCTAAAACACAAAAAGTTAGTAAACTACCAGTTATTTACTCAAAATGCAGTCGCTACGTAAGACGTTAAACTGAACAACTTCAACGACCTAATGCGTTCCTTGTTACCAAGCTCTTCTTCTCTCTAACGTGACAACATTAAAACAAAAATACCAATTACCAACTCTTGCACCTAAAACCCGCTCTGACGTCTGTGAACGAAAAAAAAAAAAAAGAAAAACCAGCCAAAATAACGACGAGGTGAAATAATATCAAAAACGCTTTCATCGAATTGTGAGTAGAAAGTCAAAGGGTGGCATGTCCTTTATGTGTGTTTGTGTGTGATTGTAATAAATATATGAACCCGGACGAGGAATTTGCAATTTGCTCGTCGACCACGATGAAATGTTTCTGTTTCTGTTGTTGGGGAAAAATGCCGGCAATCTCTACGGAAAAATGGACAGTGCAATTTAGAACGTGTCGAGGAGGGGAAATAAGTGAAGCGGATCCTAATAAGCGATGATGGAAATTTTTGGCGTAGTGGAGGAAGCAGTTTCGGCGTTTTTTGGTTAAGGGTAATTTACGCTGCTAGACTCAACGAAAGTCTAGAAATATTTAAATGCGGAAATTAAGAGCGCAGTGGTGGTTGCTGATTCAGCATCACACAGTAATGAGTAATTATTTCCAAGCTCGTGAGTTCTAGCAGTCCATGAAAATAAATAAAGCAAAATATTGGATATGCTGGGGATCTACAAGGATAAAGAAAAGCCTGAGACGATATTGTACACGCTGGGATTACAAGACAATTATTTTTTAATTATAAGCTTTCCAGTGTTCATTTTTCTTTCGATCGTCTTGTCCTTATTGATTTTCCCTGACGCAGTTGATTTATATTTACTCTTCTTGTGTGTTCATGAAGGAATAAATTATTTTGAAATCTCCTCTGACCCCATCTTCCACTAACACAATCTCCATCACAAGGTTATCAATGATAGGATCAGTATTGATAACGCATCTCGGATTACTGACTGTTTTCGATCCTCCATCATAAAATTGAGGATTCTTTCTGCCCACAAGAACCTTGTCCGAGTTTTGACGTCCCAATTTTTCTATTATACACCTCGTTGTAGCCAGAATTAAAATGAGGAAACCCTCTAGAGACGCTACTCCGAAGTCGACTTTCCAATAACTTATCATCAAGGACAGGGTCAGTTCTAACGTCTTATCTCAGATTCCTGACTATTTTGAGACCTCAATCCCGAATTTGGAAGTTCCTCCTAGTACCTTCCATTAATATTTACTCCTTAAAATTTGACAAGATTCCCTCTGATTGCATACACTTGGTTGTACCCAGATTCTTTGATGCCTACTTGTTTTTCTTTCGGGTTGATACAGAATAATAGAAAGATTAAAATGAGGAAACCGTCTAGAAATAATCTAGAGACCCTCATCTAGAGTCGATTTTCTAATAACTTATACTCTATGAATTATGCAAGATCCTGTTGGGTAACCAGAGGACCATCAACGCCAGGATCAGTTTTGACAACTTATCTCAGATTCCTCACCGTCTTGGGACCTCGACCCCGAATTTGGGAGTGCCTCCTAGTACCACCACTAATATTGACACCATGAAGTTTTGCAAGATTCCCTGTGACTACAAAGATCTTATCCCAGTTTTGACGTCCCAATTTCTCCATTATAGACTTTGTTGTACCCAGATTCTTTAATACCTACTTGCTTTTCTTTCGGGTTGAGACAGAACAATACAGAAATTAAAATGAAGAAACCGTCTAGAAATATCTAGAGATACTCCTCTGGAGTCGACTTTCTAATAACTTATACTTCACGAATTATGCAAGACCTTGATGGATAACCAGAGGACCGTCAAAGGCAGGATCAATTTTGACAACTTATCTCAGATTTCTTATCATCTTGGGACCTCGATCCCGAATTTGGGAGTTCATCGTATTACCTTCCACTAACCTTTACCCCATGAAATTTTGCAAGATCATGATGAATAACCACAAATTTATCAACATAACAGGACCAGTATTTATGAGGTATTTTGGATTCCTGACTCTTTTAGATCCTTCATCACGAATTTTACGATTCTCCAATATTTGCACAAGGAGAAGGTCAGTATTGATTACGCACTTCGAATTTCTCATAATTTTAGGTCCTCGATCACAAATTTGAAGATTTCGTCTGATTACAAAGGCTTATCCGGGTTTTGACGTCCCAAATTCTCTTTCATTACACTTTGATATACCCAGATTCTTTGACATCTATTCCCGTTTCTTTCGGGTTGATGGAGAATAATACAGACATGAAAATGATGAAACCGTCTGGAAACAAATAATCCAGAGACCTTGCTCTGGAGTCGTCTTTCCGATAACTTATATTCTACGAATTTTGCAAGATCTTGATGGATACCCAGAGGACCATCAACGCCAGGGTCAGTTTTGACGCCTTATCTTTGATTCCTGACGATTTTGACACCGCGATCCCGAATTTGAAAGTTTCCCCTAGAACCTTCCGCAAGCATTTATTCCATGAAATTTTGCAAGATCATGACGAATAACCAGAGGTCTATGTATTAATGAGGTATCTCGGATTCCTGACTGTTTTAGGTCCTGCATCGTGTATTTTGGGATTCCCCCGAATGTCTTCCACACTGGGCACATCAATGAGAAGGTCACCATTCAATACGCAACTCGAATTTCTGATCATTTTAGAGCCTCCATTACAAATTTGATGATTCCCTCTGACCACAAGGACCTTATACGGGTTTTGACGTCCCAATTTCTCTTTCATTACACTTTGATATACCCAGATACTTTGATACCTATTCCCGTTTCTTTCGGGTTGATGGAGAATAATACAGACATGAAAATGATGAAACCGTCCAGAAACAAATAATCCAGAGACCTTGCTCTGGAGTCGTCTTTCCAATAACTTATACTCTACGAATTTTGCAAGATCTTGATGAATACCCAGAGGACCATCAACGCCAGGGTCAGTTTTGACGCCTTATCTTTGATTCCTGACGATTTTGACACCGCGATCCCGAAGTTGAAAGTTTCCCCTAGAACCTTCCACAAGAATTTATTCCATGAAATTTTGCAAGATCATGACGAATAACCAGAGGTTTATGTATTAATGAGGTATCTCGGATTCCTGATTGTTTTAGATTCTGCATCGTGTATTTTGGGATTCCCCCGAATGTCTTCCACACTGGGCACATCAATGAGAAGGTCACCATTCAATACGCAACTCGAATTTCTGATCATTTTAGAGCCTCCATTACAAATTTGATGATTCCCTCTGACCACAAGGACCTTATACGGGTTTTGACGTCCCAATTTCTCTTTCATTACACTTTGATATACCCAGATACTTTGATACCTATTCCCGTTTCTTTCGGGTTGATGGAGAATAATACAGACATGAAAATGATGAAACCGTCCAGAAACAAATAATCCAGAGACCTTGCTCTGGAGTCGTCTTTCCAATAACTTATACTCTACGAATTTTGCAAGATCTTGATGAATACCCAGAGGACCATCAACGCCAGGGTCAGTTTTGACGCCTTATCTTTGATTCCTGACGATTTTGACACCGCGATCCCGAAGTTGAAAGTTTCCCCTAGAACCTTCCACAAGAATTTATTCCATGAAATTTTGCAAGATCATGACGAATAACCAGAGGTTTATGTATTAATGAGGTATCTCGGATTCCTGATTGTTTTAGATTCTGCATCGTGTATTTTGGGATTCCCCCGAATGTCTTCCACACTGGGTACATCAATGAGAAGGTCAGTATTCAATACGCAACTCGAATTTCTGATCATTTTAGAGCCTCCATCACAAATTTGATGATTCCCTCTGACTCCAAGGACCTTATCCGGGTTTTCACGTCCCAAATTATCTTTCATTACACTTTGATGTCCCCAGATTCTTTGATACCTATTCCCGTTTCTTTCGGGTTGATGGAGAATAATACAGACATGAAAATGATGAAACCGTCCAGGAACAAATAATCCAGAGACCTTGCTCTGGAGTCGTCTTTCCAATAACTTATACTCTACGAATTATCCAAGATCTTGATGGATATCCAGAGGAGCATCAACGCCAGGGTCAGTTTTGACGCCTTATCTTTGATTCCTGACGATTCTGACACCGCGATCCCGAATTTGAAAGTTTCCCCTAGAACCTTCCACAAGTATTTATTCCATGAAATTTTGCAAGATCATGACGAATAACCAGAGGTCTATGTATTAATGAGGTATCTCGGATTCCTGACTGTTTTAGGTCCTGCATCGTGTATTTTGGGATTCCCCCGAATGTCTTCCACACTGGGCACATCAATGAGAAGGTCACCATTCAATACGCAACTCGAATTTCTGATCATTTTAGAG